GGGAGAGTGCAGCTGACTGGCACGGCAGTACCCGCACCTAGGCGTACTACCACACCCCCTCCCCTGGTTCCCGACAAAAACTTGACCAGGATTTTAACCAACAACAGCACAACAACGGGTCGGAAAGGGGATGATGACAGCGCAGCCATGCACATGACCTATATACCCACCGGTTTGAAAAATCAGATTTGATTAACTCGTACCCTACTTGTTTATGGAAAATACTGTAAGGCCGGCCCTGCGCAGCATGTCTTCACTAGCCAATGCTCATTTAGGTCGTTAAATCGCTTCAAAAGTCGAGGCTTGGGGGGTTTCTAACTGGCTGAATAAATCTCCTCTATAAGGCCGAGAGTCGAGCACAGTGATCTTTTCAATAAGACCAAAAATTGTGCAGCACACTAAGGACAGGATCGCTAGCACAAAATTCACGCTCATATCCAGCCTTTCTGATTTAGTTTTATCAGTCTAAAATTATAGGTGCGCAAAAGGAGTGCGAGTTACCGCGGTGTTGTCGTGTCTCGTTCAATGGCCTCAGCGCATGCCGTAGTCGATAAGCTTCCAATCCCAAACAGAAGTGATCTTCTTCAAGCACGACGAACGAGCTAGTCATGAAATGTGATGACGGGAATCATGATGATCGTTTCGCATTCCCCTAAACAGTTTCGGCAATGCCCTTTTTGCGTGTAAAATATGATTCGTATCAATTTTAGCGGCTAAACTATTTACATATTTGGACGAAAACCTATGTTACCTTATATTCGGGAAATTTCCCGTGTTAATATCTGTACAACACTATGTTTGCGCATCCATGCGCGTATTTCTGTGTGGGAAAGTAATTTAAACTTGGGGGTTTAACTAAACAAAACTCGCTCTGTTTAGTTCGGTGTATTTAGCGGCATTCTTTTATTTTTATCCATCTCAGACTAGGAAACTCAAAGAATACTGAACAAAGGAATAGGAAATGTTCAGGAGTCATTCCCCTAGAGACAACCAATAACAGGGAATATGGAGAACGGCCAAATTATTAAAAAGTGCGATCTGATCTGCTGAGTCATCGGTGAAAATGATGATTAACACATCGACTTACATTTCGGTCAAACGGTAAGAGACTCGAATGCAGACACTGGACTGGATAGGCCACATGAAATTTCCAACAACCTCGATCTAAAAATCGCTCGAAAAGCTATCCGGGCAAAACTCCCTTTTTGCACAAACGGGAGTGGGTTTTTGTTCTGAGTAAATCATGTGAAACAGGTTACTTCTAAAGAACCAGAAAAGTTTTTGATCCTAAAGGTTAAATTCGTAAGTCTGCGTGATGTCACGCTCTAAAAACCAGTAGTAACGCCTACAGACAAGCTTTTGCTTAAACATACTGATATTTTCCTACAATTTGCGAATACTCCGTGAGTAACCCTGAAAAGGCCCATCGTTGAATGGCTATGTTAAAATTTCAGCATACACTGTGACCTAGTTTTTGTTAATACGTAATTTAGGGACGGAAAGAGCAGAGCAGTAGCAGTCTATGCAATATCCTAGTACTTATATGACCCCTCTGTTGTGCATTTACCATCATAAATCAGATTCTAACAATAAGCGAAGATTGCAAAATTGGCCCCACATGAGGAAAAAAGTTAGCTCTTTCAGCTGCAGCCGAAGAGTTATCCCCGCGTTTGAGGAAAGCAAAGCTTCATTTTTTTTTCTTTGACTTTACCTTGGAAAAAGGAAAAGTGCGTGGACATTCTTCAGCGAAGTATCTTATTTAAGGGTCTTGCATAAGGTATTCTATTGGAAAAAGTTTTTCAATCGCCAGACGGAGTGTGAGCTCAGCAATTGCGAAAAATGTGAAAAAAACCAGACAACTTCCTGCTGTCCTAAGCACTAATACTGAAGTGATTTGGCGTCTAAGTAGAGAGTAATAGAATCATCACGGCATGCACCTATTAGCAGGTGATGAAGGCAAGGCACCAAATGGAGGGGGGGGAGGTTTATGCCCACAGAACCCCGAGTTGCTGTCTCAGGCCAGGGCGTGTGCTGATGTCCGAAAAAGTTTGAAACTCGTGTCGAATGCTTTTCTTGGGTTTGCGCCGCCAGGTTCAGGTGTCTTTTTTCAAGTGGCATGTGTCACACTCCAGACGGTGGGATGCTGGCGTGGGAGAGGGGCGGTCGTGGCCGTCTAGATGCGCGTGCGCGCACGTTTCAGCCGGACAGAGCGTAATGTCAGCGCGTCTGGAACTGTTTGCTGCGAAGGCGAATGGCCTTGCTCTGTAGCTGGGCGTCCGGAAAGGACGTCAGGCATCGTAATGATGACTGCCGGCTACAGTAGCCCCGGGACATCACATCAGAAGGGCGGTCTGGGCGTTTGAAATGTACGAATGAGCATATGCAGGCAAAGGAAGGGGGCCTATGTCTGAGGGCAAAGGGTAGTCATGGCACGAATAGGATCATGGAGAGGAAGAATACTGTCGGGAGGGAATGATTCATCAACCATCTAAGAGAGGTTGGTAAGCACAAGCCTCTAACCACTGAACCACGGGACGGACACGTCCCAAAGTTTAGGCGTTGACAGCCTCTCTACCATAGTGAGATGTTTTCCTGAACCCTGGCTACCTAGATAAGTAATCGGTAGATGTTACCTACTAGAGGACAAGTCGAACCCTCCGACCAGGTAGTTGAATCAGGATGAGAGACTGCCCCTTATAACGTCACTGACCGCCGGCAAGATCAGTCAGAGCGCACACGTCACAGGCCTGCGATCGCCCAGACCATGTCGTCCGATGGCTCGTCGGACAGCAGCTGGGTAGACCTACTTGGTAGCGAGGTCTCCACCCATCTCTCCAACGCATCACACGAATGCTACAGAAATGCATCAGACGATGGCAGGTGACGAGCAGCATTCGCCGTGTCGCAGTATTCCCCCATGGCTTTTGACCGTTTATAGGAAAATGATATATCCGACGAGCGTCCAGCCCTGCCAAAAGGCATTGCCGTTGCATACTCCGCCGCTACCACTTATTTGGCTGTTTGTTTCGCTGTTAACCCTCGCTACCTGTGGACGTGGGGGATAGCCCCGAGCCAGGCAAACATGTATCGTCATTCTCGCGTAGATCTAGGTCACCTAGGTGAAGTCAAGCCATTTGCATAGTGCCAATTTTTTAACTCCAAAAACTTCATATAGGGCAAACTTTCATTTGTAGGTTTCGTTCATTGCCCTTGTTTCCCAGTAAATCGTCATTAAACTGTCAGGCATTGCTCAAGATCCTGTTGAACCAAACGTCACAGTTCCCCAAACTGCGTGAACTTTCGATAAAACCGCTCGCGAAGACATCCCAGTCACAGGATTCCTTCAGCTAATATCGGTCGTGCATCCATTCGGATATTTCAGTGTCCTAGAGGTCGTCATTCCCGGGGCCGCTTGACGTACCACCAGACGATCAACACAAATCTTCCCGCACCCCTAACTGGACAGCAAACACGAAGAAGCAGGCCACAAGTGAAATATGCCCATCTCATACAATTATTCCAGTTCTCTCAAGACATATTTCCCTTCCGGTGGTGTAGACTGCGGGCAGGTCAAAAATTACTAGTAATATTACCGAGTTCTTGATCCACCAGTGAAACCGTGCTTTAAAAATTAGGAAAGCCAGTGCCCCAAGCCTAAAATCGGGAAATTTTGACCCAGAATGCTAGTGACACCGAGAAACAACTACGAAAAAATCTAGCGGGTCCTTGAGCAGTGCCTTCGTGGACCACGCCCCGATTACCCTTCCAGAGCGCTTTAGTGTACGACAGTAGCCCAGAGAAAGATTATGCAAACTGTGGCTACTAATTTTGGCCAAATCCGGGGATACCAGAAAAACCACGTGCTACCCCTTTATCGCAACCGTGATAGAAAACACCCTGGGGCAGAGGGACCGCCAAACTGCCCGAACCTCCGGTGTGCTCTCGAATATTCCCGATTGTGCTCAAGAGGACAAGGGGCCTCTGGCTCGACGGGTGAAGAGCTTGACTCAGGTGCTCGTTGGTCAACTGGTGCAGGCACAAACTTCAGGACTTCTTGGCCTGCACTCGGGGCGTGTTGAGCTGGTGACGGAAAATAATCCAGAAATGGCCAACCACTATGCGGCCGCTCTAGGCCCAGAGCGTCAAGTTAAAATAGAAGTACCTAGTTCCGTTCTGAAATCAGATTGGTAAATGCCCTTCTCAGGCAACTTAGATCTACCCTGTATTTGGCGCCTGGGTGCGGCAGCCAGGCACCTCGGCAACTGGTTGTGGTCGCAGATGGTTGTGAAAGTAAAAAGCGGAAAAGCGCAGCGTCTGGTGGATGCTACCATACGTAGCATATATGTTTCGAACCGATGAACATCTAGAACACTTCGGGATCAGCGGAGTCCACAGACCGAAGACTAAAATTCACTATCAGGTCACAGGGGCCAATGAGCCCCAGGAAGGAATTGAGATACCATCGGCGCAGGCCGAATGCTAATAGCCGCATAGGCCAAACTCCCGCCACTACAACAGGGAAGATGGTAGGTAAGGATGGGTTAAAAATCAGGAGAAACCCGTAGTACCGGAGATCGTAGTCCCCTTGAGACTTATACCGAGTTACACGCGGGCTTAATTTGGTCAACAGTTAAAACTTTTTGTCAAGAGATTTAAGCTCCTCGTCGAATTCTACTAACTAATGCTGCAACGTTTACTGAAGTCTTGGTCGAAACTATAAACTTACCCCTCGAACAGACACATGAAAAAAACCAAAAGTGAGATCACAAGCCCTTCCCATGCATAAAAATTTGACAGAGCCACAGGTTCAACCCAGTTAAAAAAAGACGGACAGTTAAGGATTTAAAAAATATATAAGAATAAAACAGGCTATAAAAACATCTTTAAACATTAGCACGCACAAGGCAGTTAAGCGAGTGGCAACTAAAAAGGAAAAGAAAAGACTGGGGGGGGGAGGGGTAGGGGAAGAGAACACGCCAGTCTGGGAGCCTAAACTACATCTAGGGCCGAAGGACAGAAGTCGAAGCGTCAGTCGGCACTGTAGCCACCGCCGCTGTTGATGTACAAGCATTGCCTCGGAGAACCCGAAGACGACAATAGGGTGTTAGGAGTGGGCTCTCGCAGGGGGGTGGAACAGCGACAGCGGTGAAATTGAGAAGGTCCTGAAGATTGCATGGTTCCGTCGGCGCTGGTGGCACCTTGGGCAGTCGTCTCCGGCCCCGGGAGAGGTGTTCCAGGGAGGGCAACTGGGCCACTGGGGCAGGTGTGAAGGCACGACCGGAATCGTGGTAGCTAACAGGACGCGGACGAGTCGAGCGCTGACGCAGCAGTTGCGGTCCGATGGGCTGCGGACGCAGTGACCCCTCCGCCACAGTTGTGGTGATGGTTGGGGCGGCCAGCTGATTATTGTCCTCATCAGCATCATCATCGCTGTCCTTTCGTGCTCCGGGGCTGGCTGCACGCGGCTCGAATAAGGAGCGTGTCATGAGGGAGCGACGGGAGAGGTCCGTGCGCGAAACCGAGGAGGCCAGACTGCGAGTGTCAGCAGCGTTCAGGTCAACTCGCGAAAGTGCCAGGCTGCTGCAATGTCGCAGGCGGTCAGCCAGGGTATCTGGAATGGTGGAGGGCTTGTACGGCAGGATATCAGCCCACCAGTTTCCGTCGGTGGCATCGGTGTTGAGCGGCGATCTGTGGCCCGTTTGGTCATCGCTGGGTGAGTTGCGAAAAATGAAGGTGCTGCCGGTGGGGTCGTTAAAGACAGGCGACTGCTGACAGTGATTGCGGAAAAGCAAGGAATCTCGGTTGGTGGATTTTTGGCGCTGATAGTGCGTCTGCGGCCTCGCTCTCCGCTGTGCGAGGTCCACTGGCTGGAAACATTGAGGGGAAACGCAATGCTTACTGGCTGAACACGTTAAATCTGTGTGTATACCTTGCTATCAAGGTAGAAAGGGAACATTTATGCGCTCCAAATGATAGGGCAGGATATCTACAATGCATGTTGCAAAAAAACACGTAAAGCAGAACCCACATGACTAAAAAGTCGTCAAGGATCGATCAAGCGGCGTCTCGGGATACCGCTTGCTTATGCTCAATTTGACAATAACGACGAAGAAATTCAGTGCGCCCCATGCCAGGAAGACAGGACACACAATACCCAAAACCAAAGTGGACATGTAGCGAAATGCGAAACTCTCCGAAGTTATCCTTAACATAGAGAAGACCGCGGGTGTGCTTAACACCCATGCCATACTAAAGAAGGCACAACCGCGATGAGGCGACCACTTCGAGGGGGCTGTGTGACAAACTCCTCATCGAGCAACTATTCCACAGCGGCGTCGGTCTGGGCGCTCGTAGACACTTCAGACAAAATCAACTATACAAGGACATCTTGAGGACCTCTCCCGGCAAGCAGCAAATAAACAAAAAGATCTGCGAACGCCTCGCAGAGGACTGGCAAGCCTGGCGCACTGTCCTAAAAAACTGGAGCAGAAATCGTCAGGATCAGAGTGAAACGCCAAGCATGAAAGATGTGACAACACCACCAGCATCTTGCGCTTTCCGGCACGATGAATCGACGTTTAGAGCTGGGATTTACCCTGTCGAACACCCCAGTATCTACTGCAATAACAGTATGATCAACCCACTCCTCACGTAAAAACGCCACCAACAGCATCACTGAAGACACTGATCCCACCAGCCGTCACCACGCTCCGATCCGAGTTCGTCCTGGCCGAACACCGCAACGGAGACGATGCCAGCGCGTCGAACATACCCACCCCACCAACAATGCTGACACAATGCCGATATGTTTTCAGAGCAATCATACATCTGAATTACGACTGGTTTGTCACCGGCGGATCGGTAGCCATACACGGACGGTGGACCAGTGCACCTCACTCATGTGAGACCTGCGGCTGGATGAGGTCTGGTACATGCAAACCAGCACGTTCCCCATCCAAAAAAGGCTTTCACGCCACATCAGTCGCTACGTC